ATATTGAGTAGCATAACCTTCGACGAACATCTCCATGTCAGATAACTTAATTTGCTCAGATTCCTTCGTCTCAATTTTCACATCACGTCTTAGCATCTCAGACATCCAATACAATTTACCCTTAAGGACGGCCTTTGTGGCATAATTCAGCATCAAAGAAGATCGAAAGGCTTCTTGCACAAATTCCATGAAGTAACTTAACAAAGCTTTGGACCTCAGCTCTTGTACAAGAGATGGCGACCACTCAGCTCTGCAGTAGTCTGCCAGTTCGGTCAGTTGATCGGAAAAATTTGAAGCAAAAATTTGTATGCTCATTTTACGCTCCTCACAGGCTACTCGCAGCAAACTTACAACCTCTTTGACCCTGGCCACATTGGAAGGCTTGAGGTTCCATTCTTCGAATAATTCACACGTAGTACTGGAGTTCTTTATGCTCTCCAGTGTGACTTGAGCTTCTGTCAGGTTGTAGCGCAGCACGCCTATTCGAATCGGGTTGTCGACTAAAACAGGAGGCGCGAATGCCACAGGTTTGTTCATATCTGTCTCAGAGGTGGACCATTTGGGAATTTTCAGAGTGAAAGACCTAACTTTGACCCGATATTCACTACGAAGGAGGGCTCTACTTTGGAAGAATTGTTCGTTATAAAAGTCTGCAATGGGAAACAGCTCGAAGGAACTGCGGACCTTTTCAACCAATTCTGAGCACACTGTGCAGTTCAAATGAAACAGCAGGGCGACATGTAAGTGGAACTGGTCTTCCAATGCGTTCGCTTTGCACGAGACAGGCTTAGCTAGAATTTTTCGTATGCGACCTATGCCCGGAGTCATGCCGAAGTAGCGCAAGTAAGTGTACCGGTATCGCGTTGGAGGCGGAAGCTGATCCAGGTCGAGCACAAAAACACCGTACATTGTCTCATTGCCGACCGTGGAATCTTCGACAGAAAGTAGGGCCTTGTGCAGATTATCATCAGGAACTAGCCTACTTTGGTTGCATTCATCAACCCGGCCAGGCTCCACGGTCAGTGGCAAGTAGCTGCAGAGACAAATGGGATAGCTGAAAAGGCAGCATGGCCCCTCCACACATGTGATGCGCAAATCCAAGCAAAGCAGTATGTACAGCAATGGGGCTAGGGCGAAGGTTAATTGTGCAAAGGGTGTCATTGAATGTCCAGGTTCTGTTGGGGAGGATCGATTTTCGTGTATGAACTTCAAACAACGCTTTCTTCTGAGCTCCTGGACGTCAGGAAACCGGCCAAAAAGTGTATTTTTCAGCTATAAATATACAGTCAGACCCGTAGCTTGGATTCGGTGTTTCCAATAGTAATTAACCCCATCAAGTAGCAGAAAGAAAATCTCATCCAAGAATGGCAGCCTTAGCACCATACACGCCCTATCAGCGCAACTGACTAGTATAGACGTCGACCCGTTGGCATGCAGAGGCAAACACATGACTCGACTTTGCCAAGAACCACACACTCGAGTTACGAGAGCGATATAGCCTGGCTTTAGGACTGCACAAGCATGACAAGCACACGGTGTCAGGACAAAACAACTAGTTAGACAAAGTCTTTGCTCTTGGGTATGCACGATCCAGGTTTTAGCATCAATGGCAGAGCTGATGAGCGATTAGCGGATTAATCCAGTTAAGATAAAATAGTCCTTTCCGACACGGAACGGAATGGATTTCCTGAATTCAATATGGTGTCCCATTTCGGATTCCTTGCATACAGCCCAACCACCGGAACCTTGGACGCTGAAATGAATTAAGATGTCAAGCCCTCTTTGACTCTTACTCGTCATAAATAGACAAGCGATACGAAGGATAACTGGATTTAAATGACCCTCCTAAGATAAAACTTTTGAGTATATTACCTGATATTAGGCTTTTTTAATCATTCAGACTTTGACACACACACACACACACACTCAAGCGAAGGTATCAGGACAATTATGAAAGATAATTAGCCAGACCACTATCTGTACCTATACATTTTCGTTTTTTATTTGAGTATATATTCGAGGTAGGAGAGCTGGACAGTCTTCTTGACCCAGCGTTAACTTGCAACTTTGACAAGAATCAGTCCCCCTTCTGATTATGCCCATTATTTGATGGACAAAAGCTTAGCCCATTTTCGCACGGAACCAGGGAGGATGTCTCGTGAACTAAGTCAAACGGAACGTCATATTAAAGCCCAAC